AGGGGGGGTCATGGGGAAGGCAGTATAACATGGAGAAGACAAAGTGACTCTATAGCTTCTTACTATGCTGATGGACAGTGACTGTAATGGGAGGGTGGATTTGATAATATGGATGAATGTAATAACCACAGTGGTGTGCATGTGCAACCTTTATAAGATTGTATATCAATACCATAATGAAAAAAATAGTCCATAACAGGAGCTCCTATTTAGACTGCTAATTGAAGAACTCTTAACCGCTTTTATCTTAATGTTTTTTTCAATTTGTATTAAAAGAAGAGTCACTCTAGCTAAACCTGAATTTAAGGCACTTTCTTACAGATGATCACGACAGATCATAAACTCTAGAGACTGAGAGCTCTCTGATATAAAAAGGGTCTATGCAGTCAGATAAGGACTGAGTCCTGGGACAGTCAGTCTCTGCTTCCCAGAAGCAAGGCAAGTTCACTGAAACAACTCATCCACCAGGCTCAGTTACTAGGGGCTCATGGAATAGAAAGTTCTCTAAATTTACATTGGCTACAGACAAGAAAGGTGGGCTAATGCGAGGCAGGGAGAGTCCCACAGTAGGTGGTCTGCAGAGAAGGCTTGTGGGCTTGTTGCTGATGATAGTCAGACACTGGCCATGCCCAAGGGGCCTGCAGTGGTCTTTATGGACCTTCTAGATGATTGTTAAAATGACTTCATCCAGGATTGTGGAGTTTCTCTTTAGCTCTTACTTGGGCCTATTAACTGATGATCTTCCCTTGTCTTTCTTCCGCTTTCTCTGGCCCTAATGTCACTTAATTTAGTCCATTTCAGAATTTTCCCTTCTCAGTCCATAACAGGAATAATGTCAGTTGCCTTCTGGGATGCCCTCCTCAAGGACTCAGACTCTGATGCCTGCCCTCCACCCCCATGCTGGGAGGCTTTATCTAAGGACATGGCTTATGTTGCTGACAGTCTAGATTCCACTCTGGGCTACCACATCCAAGGCATCCCCAACCAAGCCTACTTTTCTTTGATTCCTCTTCAAGAAGGAAAGAAAGGAAGGAGTAGTTCAAGAGTATGTCTGGCTTTTTAAGGCAAAGTTCCATTAAAATATTTTTTATTATCACTACAAAATATAAATATATAGCAAATTGGCTTTCTAACATTTCCCCTGTATGATTTTATTGTGCCTGCCATATGATACCTTTGTATTGAATTATGTGCATATAAATTTCTCTTTTCATGTTCAGGACTCTGGAAGAAATTCGGAATCCTTTGCATCTATGCTGAGACGTTGTCCTCTTATACAGATGGGACCTGCCATGGATAAACTAGTCATTGGACGAATCTTTCATGTTGTGGAGGATGATCTTTATATAGATTTTGGCAGCAAGTTTCATTGTGTATGTAGAAGACCAGAAGTGGATGGAGAGTAAGTAGAATTGTTTCCAAGTGATTTAAGAGTGCTCATAAATACTGAAACATCTCAGAAGTATTATTATACTTTAGTTGGTGATTTTTGAAATGAAAGAATTTATACTGTTTCTCTTCATAATGTGAGTTGTCAACTTAGGCTGTATTTATGTCTTCCCAAAGCAGTGAGAGCAGTTTTGGGAAAGATTTGAATATTCATCCTTATAGTAAACCGTTCCATACTATAAAACTAAAGCCAGCTTTGTAGTAATGCATGCTGCTCAGGCCACTTTGCATGTAACTTTTTTTGCCTCTTCCTCTTTTCCACAGTCTCAGAGATGCTTCCCCTTTCCATTCTTCATGCTCATTTCTCTTATTCCACCAAATCTGACGGTTTATCATATTCTTTTCTTGTTATTTTGCATCTACTCTCAGGATTACAATTTTTTCTGTTGTACTGTATAAAAATTAATTCTGTTTGTAGACTGTGTACATAAAGATATATGTGAATATAAATATTCATTGGGAAACCACTGAGGTGGGAGAGGGAGGAGTAGAATATCAAGAGTGAAAAGAGAAATGAAGCAAAGATTCTGAGATTGGAAAACCATAGTAAACAGGTAGAAATGATTTTTTTCCATTGGTTTTTAATGTGCACAGTTTTTAGATTTCAATATTTCTAGTTTCTGGATGCATCGTGTAGTCCATTTAATTGGCAATGTTTTTTAATTCTTAATAATACAAAAATTAAGGTGAACCTAGTAATCAACAGCATTTTGGGATGAACTTCAGTGATTAAAACATTTGTGTTGTTTAAGAATGTCCCATATTGTAAAAATGAAAAAGGAGAGAGTCTACTCTAGTTCTAAGAGAGTAGTTTTAAGAATGGATTGCCCTTCGCCAAGTGCTCTGGATATCTAAATGTCCAGTTGACAACTGGGATCAACCAGTTAGGAGACGTGAGCTCATTCTACCTGATTATCTGGGGTAGACGTGTGCTGGAGTCACATTGCACCAGCTTGTAGGAGCTGACTGCACATGTTGTGTCACCTCTGTGCCCAGTGCTATAGTGGTAGTGTCTTACACCACAGAAAGTGGGAAATCAGGTCCTTTTTTTAGTGGAGAGGTAGTGGCTCAGGCATGGCTTGCCTTGGTACAGCTTAGTCAGAAACAGAAAATTGTCTAAGTAGGATGTGCTTGTCAATCCAGATTTAATACTGTAATCTGTATCTATCATGTAATGGGCTAATGAAGGGATTGAATAGATAATGTATGTAAAAATTTAGAACAGTGACTGGCATAAAGTAAACAGATACTACTATCATCTGAAATCCTAGTGATTTAGGGTTTTTGTCATCTAATGATAACATGGCTGAAGAATTCCTACTGAGAAGGTTTTCTGCAGGACACACATAAAGATATGTGGTTCTAAAGTTATCCTTCAAGAGAGGCATCCTAAGCTCTTGAGTACTGTCAGCAGGGGTTGTAACAGATCATTTTTCATTAATAGAAAATACGTCAGTAATTTTAAAATGAAGTACTATTTCATACAAAGAAATCCGCTCATCTCTTCTCTACACTTGACAAGCTTTGCAGCATGTACAATGGATAGCATGGGCCCAGTTGCAGTGATCACCCTTATTCTTACAAGTGGACCTAACATGCACCTGGAATATCAGATATTGACTTTATAAAGATAGATATTTACAGGTAGCTCTGCTGAATTACAAATATTTCACCTACTCAAATTTATTATAAATTGCAAATGCCAATGATACCCATCTTTCTTCATATTTGTGGATATAATTTTGTTTATGATATTTCTTTCATGGGTTTTTATTTATTGGTAGATACTCTTTTGTGTGTACTGTTCTTTTCTTCCTCATTTTATTAAATTTCAAATATCAACTTTGTCATTATGTTATGTGCTTGAGCATAGTATTTCACAGCACCTTAGAGATCTAGAATTTCTGATTTGATTCTCATTCCTTATTAACTGAACCACAGAATGTTAAATATCAGTATTTGTGATTAGCTATTTCTCTATTCAGTGCTATGATTTGAATTTATTTTATGTATAGTATAGCTTTAAATGATTAAATACTAGAATTTGTTGCAACATCTATTAAGTTCATTTTTTATTGTGAACTATGCATCTACCACATAAGCACACATTCTATTACAGAAATTACTATGTAGTTGAAACCCCCATCTCCATGTGTACTCCTCCCAATGAAACAGTCTATTTAACAAAAGTGTTTTGTGGAGATAGAGGTGGCTCAAATTCTCCAGTCTATGGAGCAGTTACTATATTAGAACCTTTTTCATAGACTTAGGAGAGTTAAATGCCTGCATCTCTTTTTTTGGTAGTTCTCTGCAGTGTTTATCTTTCAACTGCTGCTTACATCTATCTGCCCAGTATCCATTCATTCTCATAAGGTACCCATTAAGTTTCTAAAACATTCACAAAATTGAGGATCATGAAGAGGGAGGAACCATATTGATGTTTATTTGTTTGTTCATTCATTTGTCCATTTATTCATTCATTCCTTTGTTCACTTTTTTAACAAACACTGGACCTCTTTGGTTTAGCAGGCATGGTTTTAAGGGCTGTTAAGACAAATTAGCTCTATGCTTTCATGAACTTATTCTCTTGGGGCTTCGAAGGGGGAATAGATAGTAAACCAGCACACAAATCACTTTTTAAAATTGGTAATTACATGAGTGAAAAAGGATACTCTGGTGACAAAATTTCTGCTGAGTAGAAGGTAACAGTAGTCAGAGAAGGCTCTTGACCTCTACCTCTTTTGCTGAAAGTCTGAAATGCCCTCTGAATGCCTTTTTTTTTTTTTTTAATGATAAACAAAAGTCAAGGCTGAAGCTTCATTTTCCTCCAGTTCTACAGATTGGTAATATTATTTCTAACAATATGCTAAAGGGACTAGTTAATAGTTAAAATCAGTGAAGATTTAACCCGAATAATTTGATTACTTCTTTTCTCTCCCCTTATGGCTACATGCATCAAACAACAGCTTTATATCTACATACATTGTTTAGAAGCTTTCTAACTTAACTAATTCCTTATTGTCCAGTATTTAATTTATCATGAAAAGGTTTATGCTCTTCACAGAATAGTTATTAAATATCTTGAGTTCTATATGTACACATGTTTAGATTCTTCCCAACATTCTTCTCTAGGTCTCTTATAGCTGCATGTCACTTATGCTTTGAAAGGATTGCAGGAACGTGTCAGATCAGCATAATTACTGTTCCAGTTCCTTTGCCTTTCTACCTCATATCCAAACAAAATTTGTGAGTGGGAAATATTTTATTCAAATCCTACCTGTTGTCTTTATCATTGGTGGAAGGAAGATAACGCCAAACGGAAAAGTAGTGAGATCCAGCTAGGTCTCTGGTCTTCCCCTTGTCATACCTACAAGTTTGCATTACATGACCCGATAGAACACCTACTGGGCTGGACATGTTTGTTCTCTACCTCCATGAAGTCGGGCCTCTGCCTCAGGAGATTCTGGGAGGCTGCATCTCAATAATGGCAGATCTTCCTGCTTTGATACATTTATTTAAGTAATGTAAATAAGATATGTTTACATAATTTGTTCATCATTGATCAGCCTGACCTTTTTCAATCCCTTTTGGGAATCTTTTTTTTCCTTTCCATTTCAACTCTTGTGTGGTTGAAGCTATTCCACTTTAGACAATTTAATGATTAATTAAATGCAATGAAAAAATAACTGAAAACATTTGCTAAACTGGGTATTTCACTAAGTTTAACTTTTTAATTATTTTAATAAGTTTAATGGCATTTCAAACTTAGAGCAACTGATAAAAATCAGAAATCATTTTGGTTGGCTGAATACTCTAGCTAAGTAACACCTTTTAATAAGTTCTATAACTTTTTTTAATACTCATTTTTTATTACAGCTTTCATTTTTTTATTGAGCTATAGTTGATAAATTGGTTTCAGATATACAAGAGTGATTTGACAGTTAATATAACCTAGCTAAATGCACACCATGGTAAGTGTAGTGACCGTCTGTCAGCATACAAAGAAAATATAATTGGCATTATGCCCTATTCTATACTCCATCCCTGTAACAAATTTATTTTGTAATTTGAAGTTTGCACCTCTTTGTTCTCCCTTTACCTATTATGCCCAGTCCCCCATCCCTCTTCTTTGGCAACCACCAGTCTGTTAACGGAACTGGTTTCAACTTTGTCCCAAAAAGTGCTAGAGTTCTGCAAAAAGGCTTCAGAGACAGAGGGGCAGTTAGGCCCTACTTTCAGGACAGTTCTGGGAACATTTTACTTAAATTGTGGGTGAAGAGTGTTGGTGAGTATATCTAATGCAAAAGAAAATCAGTTTGAAAAACACTTTTAAATGAAAAATTCATTCTAGAAAGACATTACATTAATAGGGACATTCATAGTATAGCCTATAGTATTTAAACATGAACAACAGTATTGTGATCTACTTAGATTTGCAAAATAGAAATATTCTAAGTGAATTCAGGTATTTGGAGATGTGGATGGTATCTAATTCTTCCTGTACCAACCTGAAAAGTTTTAACTATTGTATTTTTTTCTTTCATATCAACTATGACTTGAAATCAGAAATCAGATTATGACAAATCAAAATGACTCTGACATTAACATCTTTGGCAGTTATCACTGAGTCAACTGACTTGCTAAATTAATTCGCATTCTCTTTTATAAAAGCTCCTGATTGATACTAATACTATGTGGAAATTTAGAAATTAGTGAACCTCTACTCAACCTAGGTACTTTTGCTTCTTCTAGCTGAACTATATTTATAGCGAAAGCTGGTTATGTTTGTTCCAAAACCTATTTATATTATGGCTAAGTAATTTATTTGATTATTGCATAAATAACAATATGAGTATGGAAAGGGATTTTGTTCTAATTTTTATGTCTTGTAAAGACTCCATAAAGGAGAGATTTTTTAAAAAAACAAACTTGGTATTAAATCAGTTTGAGCAA